CTGCCACGCCATGTGGTCACCTCCAGGGCAGGCGGGAATTGAACTCATGTGGAAGTGGCTTTAGCTTCTTAGTGCTGTGCTTTAACCCACTGCGCCACATGGGGGGGCCTTTTCTTTCTTTTTTTTATTTTAAAATTTCTTTATTTATGCATACAAGAACTGGGATATAGACCAGAGGTGTAGGGGGTGAATGGGTTCACCAGAATGGGGAGTAGAACAGGTAGATTTAGCAATTTGGCTGGGGATCAACTCAGGCCATGAAGGTAATAGTGCTGAGACTTAATCCCTAGGCCACCAAGGAGGCCCTCTAGTTTGCATAGTTTTTGAATGGCTGATAAATCAAAGAAAGCTCACACCACAAACTTGGAGAGCTTACTCCAAAGAACTTCACATTCCCACAGCAGAAACTATGCAAAGTGGTATAGTTATTTACATTTAGCTTATCACAGCTGCCTCTCAAATGTGTATATCTCTAACTCATATCTACAGTATTAATTAATGGATAAAACTAGAGGCAGTCTAAAATAAGAGTTTAGGAATATTAACACTCTGAGTAAGAAGAGCATCCAAATATATCTTCTACTCAAGTTAGAGAATTTTTATCCTATTTTAGTTAAAAGCTAAAGAGAAAAGTCTAATTCACAAGTGTGGAAAATCTGAAGACCTATTATATTAAAAAGATCTCATATTTGAGATACTTGTAAAAATAATATGGAAGTAGGAGAAGGGGTTATAGATGAAATTAGGATGACTATAATTGAAGTTAGGCAATGGGTTCACTAGAGATTTATTATACTATTGTTTCTATTGTTGAATACGCTTGAAATTTTCCACTGTGAAGAGTTCCAAAGGAAAAGATAACATTTTTGGCCATGTGACAGAGTAACATGGCCAGAGTAACATCAATAAGAAGAAAATAAGTAGGCAAATTCTTTTGTGTACAAATATCTATTAAAAAAACTTTTAAAAATTATAAATATGACAATTTTCACTTTTCTTTGAATCAACCTTCAAAGTGAAACATACTTAGAAAAAAATAACATGCCAATGAAGATTCAAAAGTACACAATCTTTGTATTTTTTTCTTTCTAAAGAAAATCACAAATTTTCTTTTTGGTCTAACAATACTGAAAATAAACTAAAAATATTATTGAATGCAAATTTCTGTTCCTCACTATATTCATTTGAGAAAGGTTTACAACTTCCATAACAGCAAGGAAACAAAAAATGGGCCTAAGAACTATTAACTCCGTAACTGCATGAGTTTTGTTAGGTAAACAGTGAATTATTAAGATAAAAAGATAAATATAATTTCCAAGGAACAGTTTTCATTTTTATATATAACAAATATTATTTTTTAAAGATTTATTTATTTATGTATACAAGAACTGGGGTAGAGGCCAGAAGTTTGGGGGTGAAAAGATTCACCTGAGAAAAGCAGGGAGCAGAACAGGCAGAAAGATACTGCTGTGGGGAGCAGCAGGTGGGTCAAGAGAAGTCTGCCATGTGGGTCAGCCGTCTGCCTGGGGATCATGACTCCATGTGGGTCAGCCGTCTGCCTGGGGATCAGACTCATGCTGCAGTGGTTGGGGATAGCTTCCCAGTGCTAGGCTTTAACCCACTGTACCACCCAGAAGGGCTCAAGTATAACAAATTTTACTAACACACTAGGAATAACTAAAATGAATTATGACACAGAAGAGAAACCCTAAATATGTCTAGTCTAAGAGAACAGAAAGGGAAAAATTTAAATTGTTTCAAAAGATTCCTTGGAGGACACAATTTAATTTTAATGGAAATACTGAGTTCTCTATTCTTGGCTTCAAGTTTTTAAAGTAGCGACAACTTGAAAGTATTATCAAGTATTATCGAGTATATTTAAGAAAAATTCTGTTATCTTCCTTCCCATTATGCCTCTCCAAAATAAAATAAAAATCAAACAATGAAAAGATGAAACTGACATATTACTTATTGGTAACTCACCTTCAGGAAACATGAACCGAATTTCTCTTTCTGCTGCTGCAAAGTCATTACTCCCATGTAGTGCATTCCTTAGGTCATCTGTGCCATAGATTGCCCTTAGACTAGAAGTTGGAGATGATAACCATTCAATCAGATCCTTTTCCTTACTTTTTACAAATGTTTTTTCCTTAGAAATTTTACAGGAGCATTGTCATATCTCACAATGAGGTTTTAATAGCAGTTGGCTTTTAAGCAATGCATTAACCCCCAAATATCTGAAAAAAATTGCATATGACTTCTGATTACCCAAAAACTTTAGCCTGCTCTTCACCGGAATCCTTAGGTAACCTAAAGAGCTGATTAACAAATTTTGTGTGCTGTATGTGGTATATATTGCAATCTTACAATAAAGTAAGTTAGAGAATAGAAAACGTCAAGACCATCATAAGAGAAAATACAGATGATACCCTCTGTTTAAGTAAAATGTGCATGTAAGTGGATTGCACAGTTCAAATTCATGTTGTTCAAAGGTTAAGTATATTTTAAATTTTTTATTTATTTAAAAGATTTATTTATGCATACAGAAATGGGGTATAGGCCAGAGGTGGGGGGGGGCAGTGAGAAGATTCACCAGAGACAGAATTGGGAAGCAGAACAGGTCTGCTGTGCCATGTGGATCACCTCCAGGGCTGGGAATCACACTGAAGTGGCTGCTGCTAGCTTGTAGTGCTGCGCTTTAAACCATTGTGCCACCTGGGAGGACCCTATATGTTAAATTTAAATCTGTTAAGAAGACAGTTAAACATTTTTAAATCTCCTATATTAAGAAAATAGAAGTTCTCTGGGTTAAAAGGAGAGTTTTGTGAGAAGTGAAAAAGCAATACACATTCAAAGTACAGACTATAAGTGTAGGGGCTCCTTTTATTTCCAGACATTAAGTAGTAAAAATACCAAAAATTTGGATTTCTGGTCCTGTATTATCTATATTCTTTTATAATTTCACACCATTTTTTCATATGAAAAAACTACTTTAGTGACATTTTAATTCACGGATGAATGAAGGTTAATTAACCATCATTCTGACATTCCTGAGGTTTTTGTGATATTTGGTATTAATAGACATATACTCATTAAAAATATAAAAAAGATTTCTCCCCTCCCCTTTCAAAATGAAAGGTTTTAAAGTAATTTTCAAATGAAATTCCTATTACAACGAATTTTTTTTTTCTTCAATTTCACTGATGGATACCATTTTACCCTCTAAGAAAATTACCTGTCTGGGTGTGTCTCCTTAGCTATTAAGCTATTACTTGGTCCCAAAAGTTCTTTCCAATAGGAGATGGCTTTATGTCTAGCTAATATCATGGCAACAAGTGGTCCAGAACTCATGTAAGCTGTTAAATTGGGGAAAAACATTTTCCCATATTGTTCCACATAAAAGTTACTACAGTGCTCAGGGCTAAGTTGTAGTTTTCGTCTCTAGAAGAGAAAAAAAAAATAGAACAACAAAAGCATTTTAAAATGACAGTTCAATATTACCTCATGAAGTTTTTTTTTTTTTTTT